TTTATGGATATAAAGCTTGTACATGCCTCTGTTATTGGTAAAAAAATCAGCTCATTTGCTTGAGCTATAAAGGAGATATTCATTTTTTTTTTGAGTTAAGTGACTTTTGCACCCCCCTGTAGATAGATCACTCTGTTTTTCGATTGGTTTCAATCGCGTAGAACGAAATCAAACGTAATTTGTCACATGTTCATAATGAAAAAAAACAGAAGTCTATCCAAAAATATTCGTATCGTTTTGAGTAGATAGCGTGTAAGCAAAGAAACGCAAATCATGAAAAATATCAGATAATAAACAAGACATAGTTTTGCTTTTATTGTACAAATATATGTTACAAAATAAAACATATCTAAAATCATATCTTCTGCTTCACAAGGCCACTCTCTCTCTCCTTTATTCTTTCGTTGTGTGTGCGACGTGTAAAAAGATGCCTATATAATAATATATGATTTATTTTTTGTCGTCCTTGATTACATTTTCTATTCAATATGTATTGGTTTTATCGTTTTAACGCATCATTGAACGACCAGCAATAATTCACCACAATTGTATAAATATTGAAGTATTGTAAAGAATAAACTCAGTATTAACCATGTATGCTAAGAAGCTAATTCACATAACTGCCTGTTTGCTTATTATATTGGTCTCCAGCAACAACATTGTTGAAAGTAGAACATTATATTTCAACGGGCGAGATCAAAAAGCTGAAGGTAAAAAAATAGGAGAACATGGAAGAAAAGTGCTTGAGAAGATGTCAGATGAACTAGTCGCTGAAATAGCAACTGTATTTGAACAATGCATGAATAGCAAAAATGAAGATCTTAAAAAGCAATTTGCCATGAAAGGTATTGAACGTCTTAAAGTATGGGCGGAGAAATCAGGTAGAAAAAACGAGAATTTATATTAGACAATCTGCTTGATTATTATTATTACAAAAATTTGGCAAGACGTGGTAGACCCGAAAACATAGATCGGATTGCTTCGTTGGATGAGATGGTAGCTGAAAAATTAGACCTGGATACAGCTATAGAAGCTGCAGACCTTTTTGCAAAATTCGAGATGGCTCCAAAACAAACCCAAGAAGCAATTATCAAAGAGATGATTCCTTATGCTAAAATGTGTGCAGAAGGCAAACATTTCAACAGACGATATAATTTACTTCGTTTTCTTGAAAAAGAAGATGATGATGAAGACTGAAGAGAAGATTTTGAAGCATTAATTTATAATATAATTTTTTTTAATTGAATTTTTAGTTAGAAATACATCGCGCTACATTATCTTGTATTTTCTTTTTTTTCTTTTTCTTTTTCAATAAATTAAAATAAATCTTTGCTACTCAAAATACTCTTATAAGATTCGTTCGATAAAGACATGTCACTCGTAGTTAATTCTAGTGATTGTTAGAAAGGGTATAATATTTTATAAAATTTTTTTTAGTCATTTAACTCTTCCTTTTTTTTATTTTATTACGACGTTGCGAAGGACACGTTCTTCTTCATTAGGTGTTATAAGCAAATGAACTAAATTTACAAAATAAGAACAAACGTATATATATATATATACGAACATATAAAATTGAACTGTTTTTTTTTTATTTGTTCTTTCTAATTCTTAATAGTGGAACGGACGACGAAGAAGAAAATAGATGATATATTTTCTTTCCGGTCCAGTGTTACCGTCTTGTTGTCGTCCGTTCCACTATTAACAATTAAAAAGAACAAATAAAAACGAAAGTTCAATTTTATGTATTCGTATATATATACGTTTGTTCTCATTTTGTAAATTTAATTCATTTGTTTGTAACACCTGACGAAGAAGGACATGTTCTTCGAAACGTCGTAATAAAATAAAAAAGGAAGAGTAAAATAAATAAAAAAATTTTATAAAACATTATGCCATCCCTAACAATTAATGAATTTCGTAACTACTGCGATGAGTGTGCAATGGTCATCAGTCGTCATTTGGAAAAATTGATGTTAAAGATGATAAAAACTGAAGTACATGTCAAATATTCACAAGATTGTAAGAAACATAATGTAATCCTCATGGAATGATATTAAAGAATAATACTAATATTTATGCAAAGAATAAGTTATTGAATGAAACTACGAATAATATCTTAATTAATACTTTAACATGAAGACTCAAACAGTTAAGTTTATATAAAATTGATGTTGACACTCATAGATCTATTCGTAAGTCATATGGAAAATGAACAACCATTGCGAGATCATTATAATGATTTATCTTGGATGAATAAAACAGTTAAAAAAGATATATAATAAAATAAAACAAAAACATGATAAAAAACTTAAGTATTTGAAAAGCCTATTAGAATATCAAACATCTTTTAATGTAGTTAATAAAAATCAACAAGATCATAATAATAAAAATATTTATGTGGAGAATCACTATAACAAAATATTTCCTGAACAACAGCTGAAAGTCCTAGAAAAGGGTTTGAAGTATATTCCAACTCTAAAATCAATTGACTTAGTCGATATTATTGCTAATGTTGAAACATCTCTAAGTTCAGTATATAAAATTGTGAAACAAACAGCTATCTCTGAAATAACTGAATATATTCAAAAATAGAGAACGCCAAAAGGGAGAAATCTAATAAAAATTGAAATAGTTTTTGAAAGAATTAAGAGCGATTAAAGATACTGTAATTGTACCAGCTGATAATGGTGGACGAATTGTAATTCTCAATAAAGATGATTATATTTCCAAAATGAAAGAAAAATTAAAAGATACTACAATTTATACAGAAGTTACAGATCCGACTAATAATATTCAATCTGTTTCATCTAGTTTTACTCAAAAATTATTTCAACAATATAAAATTACTCAAGGTCAATAAAAATATTTAACATCAATTGATAATGTTCCCATTGTAAGAGGAAACCAAAGTTACATAAAATTGATAAATCTATAAGAATAATAACATGTTCAAGAGATACCATTACTTCTTCAATTTCACAATAAGCTTTTTCATTAATAAAAGCACTCAGGAAAACCACTAAAAGGAACATTATAAATACTAAAAATTTTGTTGAAATTATATCGAAAATTGAATTAGCTTCGAATGATAATATAGCTAGTTTGGATATATGAGATATGTTTAACAATATTCCAGCAACTCGAGCAATTGATATTGCGATCTATAGAATAGAACAATCAGCAGCTTTTAACAATTCTTTATTCACCAAATCTGATGTTAAACAAATGATACAAATTTCATTAAATAATAGTTATATAAGTTTTAATAATCAATATTATAAACAGAAATCTGGATTATCTATAGGTAATTGCTTGTCTCCTCTTTTCACTGATTTATATATGAATGATGATATTGAAAAGTATTTAACGAATGTGAATCTCTCTAATGAATTATGGTGATATGTCGATGATATTTTTGATTTTAACCAAAATGAATAAGGATGAATGAGCTACTTATGTTGAAAAGATAAAGAAAAGAAGAAGTAACATCACATATACTATGGAATATGAAAAGAATAAATCTATAAATTTCTTATATACTACTGTCGGCGCCAGAAGTAGATGGAGAAAACTCTAGGATGGATATCTCCCGAACGGATGCAGCTAGCGAGTTGGTCTTTTCACCATTAGAAAGAGTAACCTCTGGGGGCCACATGTATA